CCCCCTGTAAATAATGTTAGGTCCCTAACCCTTTAATATATAACTCCCATGAGTGACCAAGACAGAGTTTCTCCTTACAATATCAATACAATATAAAGCTGACAAGTGTTGAGAATAGAGGAAAAAAGTAAGGGGATTATTAGTTGATCCATTACCAAATCCTCAGAACTAACACCATAAAAATTGACACGTAGATAGTTAGGAGAATTACTAATGAGGTCTTGCGAGTAAAAGGGCAAAGTGGTTTTAATTAAATACCTTTTGATAGATGCGACTTGTTGTTTCTGTATAAATCTTCAGTTTCTTTTCCCTTTCTTTTCTCTTTGCTTCAGCTTGTTCAGCTGTTGTGCGCACTTTGATTCTTCCATGCTGAGAAAAGAAACAAAACTCAACTGGAGAACAAAATCACTTAACTTTCTTTAACATCTGAAGTGAACGCCGAGTGGCCATAAACTTAACACTTACCATCTCTTCACTTATGGTATGATAATGATTTCCTAGTCCATATTCAGATTATCAACTCTTTATCTGGCTGCCATCGCTGCCATATTGTTCCACACTGCGTTGGCCCTGGGAACTATTTGCATGTGTGGTTCTTTTACACAGCGGAAGTCAAATACGTTTTGTAAGAATACCTGAATCTACTTGAATGGGAAATTCTCAAAATAACTTGAGTTAATCCTTTTTGCGGAAGTTTCACTTTTGATCCGTAGTATTTTTACTTCCTTTTTTTTCTTAGAAAAAAAAAATTAGAGTAACAAATAATTTAGCCGCGTAAATAGCGTTGTGAGTTTTTTGAAGCTAGAATTAACTCTAATGACGAGGTAGGCAGTTCGCGAGTTACACACTACGGACAGACACGTCAGCGGGGAAAAGAAGTGAAATCTTTGTTGCAACCGCCAAAAAATTAACAGCTGAACTAACTTTTCAGATTCGGAACCGTCAAAAGTTTCTCTTAATAATTTAGGCCTTAACTCTTGATATTGGCTCATATGGATTCTGACGTGGACGCTATTCGCAGTTCTTTGGATACAAGAGCACAAATCGAAGACATGGGGTTCGTTGCAATGGTAATTCAAATTATCTCGTGGATCTCGTCTGTTACTATGGTCTTTGGTGGCGTTGTACCGTATGTACCGCAATACTGGGACATTTTGCAATCTCGTGATGCAGAAGGCTTCTCTATGCATGTGTGCTTAGCTCTGCTGGTTGCAAACGTACTCAGAATATTCTTTTGGTAAGTTTTTGTGCGATCTTTTTACGATTGATCCTTGTCGAGAATTCATTTAACCACATTCAGAGACTAGTCGCTCTCGTTTATCAGAACTGTGTAGAGCGCTTTAATATCATCAATGTTTCTTAGTTTGTTAAAAATCCGGTGGAAACGAACGACGACATGGCCAAACAGGATTGCGAAATTGAAATTTTATACACAGCTTGTGGGTGGCAAGTGTGTGCCCCCCATTCGGCCGTCTTCTTAAGTTTTGCCAGTTTACAGAGCTATATCCTCGTCAATTTCTATCATATCAACCCAAAACTTAGGAAAGTTACCTGTTTTGAGATTCTTTTTCTTGCAGTGTTGCAGCTGCTACACGTAATTCTTATTTTTTCAGAGGGCATGACTATATAATTATGTAACTGTAGTTATTTTACTGTTTACCACAGAGATATGTTTACCGCAGTTTACTGCAAGAAAGTACAAACGTTACACCAGCATTGTTTCCTTTGGTACAGATGAATACTATACATCTCTTGTTTGATCCTTAACGATCTGTTTGCTTGATCTGATCAGGTTTGGTCGTCGATTTGAACTTCCGTTATTAGCTCAGAGCTTTGTCATGATTGTTGCAATGATGATGATGTTACAGCTTTGCACTAAAACAAGAAGGGAAAGTGACATGAGTGCAAGGAGGAGATCATTTCTTGGTAAATATAAACTGGGGTTCCAGAATCCTTTTTTCAAGAACAAATATAAGTGTACTTACAGAGGAGGAGTTAATGTTAAGTTCGTGGTGAATGATTGATTTTCCAGCAAATTAAGTAGAGCTGATTGGTAAGTTATTTAAGTGACAGTCTTACCAGCAATAGTCCTTTTCTTAACCATTCTTACCTGGAAATTAAACAATTATTCAGTCAAGTGGAGGTGCATAATTGTTTTCTTACATGCCACACAGATACCAAAAATTATTTATTTCTGTCAATATACCAAAAATGGTCAGAAATGAAACTCTTGATGCCCAATTTTGCATCTTCAGCTGCTTGAAGGTGAACAGTACAGTTGCTATTCAACTAGCCAATCAGTATGTTACTTGTGTGGACTATATACTAATTACATTTATGAGGTATTATGGATTAAGGTTATCAAATCTTCAGAATCTTCTCTATTTACTTGCATAGGGCAACATAGAAAGCCTTGATTGTATCTCTATCATTCTTTTAAGTCTGTTTTTCCTACTATTGTGGTATGAAATTTTTTAAACCAAAAGAACAATCATGTTATTATGCAAGGAATCAGTGATTAAAGTAATTGATCTTTGTTTGCAAATTACTTGGAAAGTTCATCTCCTTACGTTATTGTGGTGCGACCTTCTGGAACTCACTAACCTGTAATTTCAGATGGTCACACCAGACAACAACACTACTCATTATATTTTAAGATAACAGCTACATGTATTTTGCTCTATATACTTGTTAAGTAATTAAGTTATTTAATAAGGTGTTAGCATCCAACATTTTAATGTCTTGCCATCATGTTTCTGCATATTTTGTTTTCATACAGATTTCCACAGAAGGCATTTCTGGGACTGGACACATTTTTCTGACTATGTGTTATGTGTCTTGATATTTGTGGCTGTTGGTGGTTATGTTACTTACTTGTTCCTTAACTTTCCAACATTTGTGGAGCTTATAGGATTCTTGGCAGTGTTCACAGAAGCTATGCTAGGAGTTCCTCAGTTCTACCGAAATCATGTGAATCAATCCACCATAGGGATGAGGTATGTGCACTTGGATATTTCCATTTCTGGGATCTGCATGTGTGTTATTTTTTTACTCATAGACGGAGTGGCAGGTTTAGAAAGGAAAATATTTGGCTCAAGATCATAATGGACTTTAATTATGCATGATGGCTGAAAGCCAAATATTTTCTCATTTGCCCCAACCATACTTACTTGATAAGTATTTAATGTTATGACTGAAGCTCACTCTCTCTCCCCTTTTATCCTTTTTTTTCTATTTTTCCTCTCGTAGGTGCAGCTTTTTCCTTAATTTTTCTGGCAATGTCACTTCTGAATTACATGTTAAGGTCAGGAGAATCGGGGAAATGATCACCAACTTAAGGTGATCCTGATTGTTCAACAAATTCTCCTGGTCAGCACCTCAGGGAATGTATAGAGAACAGTATGGAGAATATGCATACTGATGTCAGGATGTAAAAAGATTAGGATATATCAATAAAGTTGAAATGGTAAATTGGCCACCGTAACGATTACAAAAGCTGGCGTTTCGAGTGTTAGCCCTTCGTCATTCGCTCAGACAAAGGGCTAACGCTCGAAACGTCAGCTTTTGTAATTGTTACGGTGGCCAATTTATCATTTCAACTTTGTTGATATATCCAAATTATTTCATTACTCCCACCGACGCTGCCCCAAACAGTTTCTTTCGAAACTATCAGCCTTTATTCATTTGTAAAAAGATTAACCAAGTTTCTCTTTAATAGGCAGAAAGGTGAAAAGCCAAAACATAACTTACATTTATTTTTCTGTTCACAGTGTAAAGATGGTTGTAATGTGGCTATCAGGAGACATATTCAAAACTTGTTATTTCCTTGTAAAGGTTGCACCAGTTCAGTTTTGGATTTGTGGTTTGCTCCAGATATCTATAGACATTGCCATACTTGTGCAAGTTTATAAGTTTGGAAAACAAGAAAGAACTCATTTAAGATAACATTACTTGTTTTAAAATGCAAGTTATCTCTATGGACTGCACTATCAATTTTTAGTTATATTTAATTATTATTTGCCGAAAGCAAGGTGAATATCGTCGAATAATCCCAGAGAGGAAGTCAAGGAGATTATTCGACAATATTCACCGAATCTGAGGTGAATCATTGTTTTAGTATAATTTCAGAGCTGAACAACAGAGAAATTTCTAAAATCATAGCATTTTAGTAACATTTATTAACATTATTTATATTTTAACATTTTAAAAAAACCGCATGGAGCGGTTTATGCAGCATCATATAAGAAACTGCTCGACCAATCAGATTGCTGGAAACTCTTTTCTCAGCTCTAAAATTATACTAATATACATATATTTATATCCTTGAATTTTTTTTATAGTCAGGTGATATTGCATTGCTTATTCTAAATGCAATTCAAGAGATTACACTTTTAAAATTTAACATAAACACCATTTTGTATACTCTGAGTTACTTTGGGGCAAAATATGCCAAGTGGCACAATAAACTTGAGAACTGAAAGATATGCCTGTTGGACAATTGTCTCTCTAGAACATAATGTATGGTGACTTGACCTTTGTGTAAAGAGTCAATGAGATCAAAATGAAGTGCTTTTAAGTGAGACAACTGTTGTTTCAGGTTTTCTTTTCCAGCTGTTTCTGAGCAATCATGTCAGCGTCAATAACTGACTTGCAGATTTTACTGTTTTTGATATAATTTGTTGGATACCGTCCCCCACCTTCCCTATAAAATGCCTGTGAGGGGGGATAGTGCTGACTTATACCCAGGTATCTTCATAACTCGGATGGCCTAAATAATTTTGGTGGCCCCAGAAGTTAGTTGTTACAGGAATCTCTTTCCAACCTAGTGAAGATGGGTAGAGATGAGCTTGGGCATGGTGAAATGGAGGCCTTTTTTTATTTTACTTGCTAATTAAAAAATAATTGATTTTAAAACTTGAGGTTCAAGAGACCAGCAAAGGTTTATTTCTTTCTGGCTCCCTCAGCACAAAACATTAAAAATATGAGAATGTGAACGATAAGATAAATTTAAAAATGAAATACAAAGAAATGAAACTCTCACTGCAGTAACAGGCTTCCCTACTCTCCTGTCCCTTCGGAAAATTCCAGAGGAGAGCTGGGTACGAATATAGGAGGAATTCGAGCTTACAAGAGAACAGTGGACTGTATTATGCGTAGCACGTGGCTGTTTTGCAAGGAAAGAAACCATTATTCGACCTGAATTCCCTTACTGAAGTTTACCTTTCAAGCAGTAAATGTACAGGGAATCGATCGAGTGGTTATGGAGCTCAGCCAAATGCTGGGAAACATTTTTGGCACGATCATTTTCACGGAATCTCTAACATGTTTTCCCGGGTAATTTTTGGACGGACTGCGCGTGCGCTCTGGAGGCTTGATCCCCTATCGACCAATGAAAAATCTCTATTCAGAACTCACGAGAGTTTATTTCGGTGTTGTAGCATGGCGGATGCCGGTGGTGAAGGGGCTATAAGCAAGAAGTACGTTACACTTTTATCGAAAATTTCGGTCATTCCACCTCCAAACGTTTAATGAATGTTTGATAATTCTCTCTGATAACAGCGAGCTGAAAAGAAGGCTCAAAGCGGAGAAGAAAGCCAAAGAAAAAGAGGCAAAACAAACGCAGGTAAGCCTCCAACAAAAATTTATGATCTAAGCGCTTTCGTCGCGGAGACACGTGGTTTGATATTGTTTTATTCCACCTTTCTTTATTTTAAAGACGCCGAGCACTCAAGTTGCAGAGAACAAGAAGAAAGATGAATTAGACGAAGAATCATTGGATCCAAACGTAAGAAGTCACTTTCGCTTTTAATAACCTAATAATTTTTTTCCATTGATTGGGGAGGCTTACATAACAGTACCTTTGTTATATTTACTTCGTTAATTCCTATCTGATCATTCAATTTTTTTATTTATTTCAAAGCAGTCCATACTCAATTTATCATTTTTCTGATGCAGTCCTTTCTAAAAAATTCTTAACTTCCGTAAAAAGATATTGTTACCTCATTATTGCATCACCCTTGACCGAAGGTTAAAGTTTCGCTAAGTTAAATATCACTTTCTTTAGACAGGCCCATGCAGAGTGCCTTTATGAACTTTGTAACTTTTTTCTTGCGCATAATTAAAGCGGGCAATCCCAAGTAGGCAAGATAGGCCCATCTTGCCCACTCGGGTGGCCTGAATCAGAACACAGGATTCACTTCATCTTGCCCACAGGTGCTGCCAGCAATATAATAAGAGGTCTTTATTACATCGCTCACAGCACCCGAGGGCAAGATGAAGCAAATCCTAAGGGGTAGAGGGTAGTAAAAACAAAGAAAACAGAAACAACTCTCGTGAGTTTGTTGTGCTACAAATACAGTTGGCTTTCTTTCCTGGCTCTCGAAGTAAGCAAGTCATTCTTAATTCTTAATAAAGGGAAATCTTTTTAGCAATATTACAATAAATCTTTTATTAACCAAGCTTTTTTGGTCAAAGTGGCTGGATATTAGCCTTGTTCTTTTTTCGCATTTTTATAGACCTTCACTTCATTTTGGTCCATAAAAATGCAAAAAAAAGAACTTAGCCAATATCCAGCCATCTTGATCTCACACTTTGTTCATAACGCATATTTCCCACAGTGGTAGACAGGCTTTTTTTAAAAGCCCTGCAGACTCCCCTTAATTATTTCATAAAAGGAATTTTTTTTATAGCAATTTGATATATTTATATCTTTTGTGCGTGTTGAATCTGTAAGCTACTTTTCTTACTACTTTAATGGCAATCATTGCTGCTATCAATAATTGAAGATATCTGGTTCGCAAACTTTTGTTTATTTTTAGAGATGGTATTTTGTTTAAGCTATGCCTCTTTTGTCTTGCAGCAATACTTCAAAATCCGTAGCCAAGCCATACAAGCTCTGAAGGACAGTAATGACTCTCCTTACCCTCACAAGTTTCATGTCTCCATCTCATTAACGGAATTCATTGAAAAGTACAAAGATGTCCCTGATGGAACGTGGTCAGATGATGTGGTTGCTGTCA